CTGAAAGTCGCTTTATATAGATTTTCACAAAACAGGGGCTACTCGGCGATTCCAGTTACCTACTCGACGAGTCCGTCACTTAAAACCCGTGTACGACAAGTCAGCGCGTCCAGAATCGCGAAAGTTCGGTACAAATCGCCGAGTAATCAACCCTACTCGCCGAGTACGTTTCGAATCAACATTTTCTCAAAACACGAAAGTCGTTCGAAATTGTGTCTACTTTTCAGAACATTTTGAATCTCATCAATCGGAGTTACGAATATGAACAAAACACTGACGAAGGGTCAAGCTGTCCAGCAACATCCTTCTTTCTTCAAAATCCAAGATCCAAGCGTCCAATCGCTAGTTCCGCTTCCTTTTCCTTCCGAGCATGTCTTTGTTATTGAAAATGAAATATTTAAGCTAATTAAGCACCTTTTTTTCATTAAATGAGACAAAATCAACATAAAGTATTAAGATCATGCATGAATTTTATAACTAAATATGCCCATATCAGTTCCCACATAGATACCTCATGTATCCGAACTTCATATTCAACCTTATATGTAACCACCCTGACCAAAGCTTACATAAAAGGGGTAGATGAATATTTAATTCATACCTTTCTCATCACCAAAGGACATTAAGAATCTTCTTCCTTGAAGCATGCTTCCCCTTATTGAGAAGCCACCTTGGTGAAACATGTATCATTACAAGCATACTGAGGAAGACCATAGATATCAACCTAAACCAATCATTCAATCACATGAAACCCATCAATCACATGTTTACAAGCCAAAAACCAAATACTTGATCCCTTTATGTTAAAGGAATTGCTTGCACACATCTATAGAACCAAAAGGACTTGTACCTAATCTCCACCAATATATTTTATTGTAAGATCAGAAAATCCTTCCTCTTTCAACAAGACAAGTTTAGGAATGATTCTGACATCCTTTACCCTACAAAATAATGCCATTTTCTATCCCGAGTAGCATTAAATTCATTATCAAACAGTTCAATTTGTTTCATTGGTTCAGTTCTTTTCATCGACAATCCTCCATTCATATCATTAGCATAAGAGCATGGTATTTCTCTTGTCCTTTAAAATCAATTACGTGCGAGTTGATGCCACCATGGAAAGATTTTATAGGGTTCCTAACCTTGACTTCCTTCTCAAAGCTCAAAAAGATGAAAACTTCCCCTCCATCCTGTTCTAAGTTTCAACTCCAATGCCCATTCATCATGAACCTATAAAAACCTAACAAATATGTACCTTCTACCCATTTTTAAGAGCTTATTCACTATATAAACATCAGAAACAAACTCATACTTCTCAAAAATTAATCTCACATTCTTTGGGAAATTGGTGACAAAGAAGGAAACAAAAAGCCAATCGACATCCCATGCTCTCTTTTGATACTTTTTGTTACCAAATTTCCACACCAATCATCATTCATAACCATTGTAAATCAAATCGCAATATGTAGCCCCCATGTCACTAGAAATTCACCGGAAGCTACAGGTAATATGGATAAACAAAATCCCAAATCAATAAATAGGGTTTAAGCCATAACATATGAAAATAACTTGATCGGAGATGAAACAATAAGAGCTTACGAGAGAGGGGAAACATAAGCCTAATAGTAGAGAAAAGCGACAATCCCCTAACGTTTGCACTCGCCAGAGAAGACAGATGATATGAAAGAGGGCAGGGTCTTAACGAGAGCGAAGTTGTTTTACTTCATTTACTAATTATTACAATACGTTACACGAATGGTCCCTATGGTTTAGGGTAATTTGTGCGTTTTGTCCTTAACTTATTTTTTTAACTCGGAAGGTCCTTACTATTTGTTTTTATTATGTGTTTGGTTCATGTCCTACATAAAAAGACTATTTTGCACTAGATTGTTTAATTTTTTTTAAATAAATACACCCCAACCCCACCCTTCACCTTACCTTACTCACCCCACCGTTTTTCTCTATTTAAATAATAGTCTTTTTATGTAAGAAATGGATCAAACGCGTAACAAAAACAAACAGTAGAGATATTCCGTGTTAAGAAAAAAATAAGTTAAAGACCAAATATACAAATTACCCTAAACCATAAGGACCATTCATGTAATTTACTCTAATTATTAATACGTAGTGCTTCCATGTCACAAAATAAATATTTTAAAAACATGATCGAAGGAAATAAATATTTTCATTTAAGAGATGTTTTTGTTGTAAAAATGTCGGTCGTTCCCTCATAAATCTTTAGGTTGTAATCTAGCGATTAATCTCTTAATAGACAATTAATGATGTTGTCCAAACAGATGAACTTTTAACATCCTGATCAAACTTTATCTCAGTAAAAACTATTTAAGAAAATATTAATGTTGTATTAGTCGATACCCCTTATTTTATTATCATATTAATTATATTTAGCTATTTTTTTACGTTATTAATCCATATTTATTTATTAAAAATTAACTGTTTAATCTTTAGTTAGTGACTAATCCCGAACTAAACTAACCAATCTCTAGGGGTGTGCAAAAAAATCGTAAAACCGAAAAACCGAGCCGATCCGGCCAATCCGAAACCGGAAAAACCGAAACCGAAACCGAAAAAACCGCGTATCTACGGGTCGGTTTCGGTTTTTATATTTAGATATCCGCGGATACCCGAAGCGAACCGTTATATATATATATATATATATATATATATATATATATATATATATATATATATATATATATATATATATATATATATATATATATATATATATATATATATATATATATATAGGGGAGGGTTCAATTGAGAAAAAAAAAGGTTGAGAATGGGGGAATCATTCTCAACCAATCATTTATTTTTGCCGCAAAAGGCTCCAATGTACCGGTGGAAATGGAAAACGACTGCACATATGTTTTTCAACATAACATATTTCCTTAAACTATGCTAATCATTACCTTAATATATACAAAAACATAGTTTTTTTAGTTTTTATTTTTTATTTTTATAAGCTATTTTTATCAAAAAATGATTTTAAATATACCAAAATTCATGATTTTTTATTCTCTACAAATAGACATCCATATTGATATAGTTTTAAGATAAAATAAAAATTTTTTTTTTTTTATATTTTCAGCTATCGTTATTCATAAATGAATAACAATGTATCAGGTTTTATTACAGTACATTCGTTATTCACTTATGAATAAAAAGAATGATTTTTTTATTTTTATTATTATTTTTTTACAATTTAAGTATCATTCATATATGAAAATAGCATATAATAAACATAGTATATTCATATTTTAATATTTGACGATGAATTCACTTGTGAATATTAACATAGTATATTCACTTGTGAATATTATATGGTATATTCACTTATGAGTATTAAATGATATTTCATATGTGAATATTACATAGAATTACATGGTATATCACTTGTGAATATTACAGAGTATATTCAATTGTGAATATTAGATGATATATTCACTTATGAATATTACACAGTAATATTCACATATGAATATTACAAGGTATATTCACTTATGAATATTGAAGGTATTTTGACAAATACATATAATTTTTATATGTTATTCACATATGAATAACATACAGACTTGCATATTTGTTTTGTGTTTTTAATAATCATATACTGATTCAGGTGAGAAAACATATTCATATGTGAATATAACGTGGTAATTTAGTTTATGCATTTCATCAAATAGTTGGAGTGCAAACAAGTTAACTATTTTAAAAATGTTAAAAACATCAAGTTATCAATTTCAAATCATCATATACTTCCGATTTCGACTTCAGATGCGACATCCTATCTCTGATCGATTTCTCAATTTGATTTTGATTCCCGAAAATCCGATTGGGAACATGTGAGTACCGATTCGAAGTTCCTCAATGTCGATTGTGATTGCGAGTCCAGAACTCCGATTCCAATTTCATGAACATCGAAGAAATTCCGGTTTAGTTGAAGAAATCTGGATGAATATTGAAGGTTGGAGGAAAATTTTTGATGATGAACGAACATTTATCGAATTCTCTATAGTTACGTATTTGAGATTGAAGGTTATTACGATATTTACAAGTTTGCCACCGTGTTTTTTATGCTTAGATTAAATGAGTGGCTGAAAATGATTCTCTCATTCTCAACCTTTTTTATTTTCTCAATTAAACCCACCTCTCTCTCTCTGTCTATATATATATATATATATATATATATATATATATATATATATATATATATATATATATATATATATATATATATATATATATATATATATATATAAAGTGAATAGAAAAATAAAGAACTCTAGCTTATTATTTTAGTTCCTGCAACGCATTTTTTTAGATTATAATAAAAGAAAACTACCCCCATATATATTCTTATTTTGTTTGTATCACGTAATTGTAACCCAATGTATTTTAGAGAGTTTGCGAAGAATCTGTTCTAAACTACAAATGATCAATCCACACACAGTTCAACATCGACAAATCGTAAGTCATATTTAATTTACTCGTTAGTTGAACAATTATTTTTGAATATATAATTGGTTTATATTTAGTTTATAGTTTTACTGAATGTTTACATTTAGCGGTTATCTGTGAACCAAACCGTGATTACCTGTGTTTATACGGTTCGGTTCGGTTTTTTAAGCAATTCGGTTCGGTTTCGGTTAGTACATGTGAGGTACCCACCTCGTGTTCATGGTTCAAAATTTTATAACTATCCGAGCCGAACCGCCCCGTGAACACCCCTACCAATCTCTAGCTGTTAGTCAACTGACTAAATAGTAAATACCATCGATGGATCTACGGCATTTTACAACATTGGTTTTTCTTTACAAATTCAATTTAAAAAAGAAAAAGAAAAAAGTTAATGAAGTTTCGTCAAAACCACGTGTTACAGGTGGACGGATATGAACTCTGAACTCTCTCTAGAACTTTCTCTCCTTATAAAACGAGTGAGCTTAAGCTTTGTCTGATACAATCATACAACACAACACAAAAACTCCACATCCGAATACTTATTTGTTAAAAAAACCTATTTGAACTGTTAATCTTGATCTTCGACAATGGGGATTATAAATGGAGGAGAAGAAATCATTGAAGAGAGATCTTCTTCTTCGTTGCCATTATTATCTCTGAATCATGTCTCCTTCATCTGCAAATCTGTACGTCGATCTGTCAAATTCTACGAGGAGGTATTGGGATTCGTGCTTATCAGACGTCCTTCTTCTTTCGACTTCGAAGGCGCTTGGTGCGTATTTTGATTGTATCCCATTTCCTTGCTTATTTTTGCTTCTGAAACATGAGTATATGAACTTCAACTTCCACTGGTTTTTTTCTCCAAATTTCGTCAGGATCTGACAGATTTTTGAACAAAATGTTGTTTACTAGCTCCAAATGTGCATTTATAGAAATGATAAGCAACTCTCGAGGATGAATGTTTAAATTATTGCAAATCGAATGTTAATTTTCTTCTGATTCAAGTTCATGTAGTTCTTCTACATCCTAGAAGCAACCTCGATCAATTGCAAAAATTCAAAGCATCAGCTGAATTAACACGAACAGCTTTATTATACCAAGTTATGATGAATTTTCTTCTAATGATCTGGAACAGGTTGTTCAACCATGGAATAGGAATACATTTGCTAGAAATGGACACAACTCCAAGAAAGAAAGGAGTGATAAATCCAAAAGACAACCACATTTCATTTCAATGCTCAGATATGGATCTCGTAATCAAGAAACTGGAGAAATTGGGGATCAAATATGTTACAGCATTGGTCAAAGAAGGGGGTGTGGAGGTCAACCAATTGTTCTTCCATGATCCAGATGGTTACATGATCGAGATATGTAATTGTCATGTTCTTCCTGTTCTTCCAATTTCTTCATGCCCTCTTAAAAAGATCCCAAACATCTCACAAATCAACCATGGAGATTCCTACGGTATGATACATATAATTTTTACACTAAATCATAAAGCAAAAACAAAAAGTTTTCATCTTTTACTTTTTTTTTTTTTGTTAAAAAAAATATTTACTTAACCTACTTATTTATTTATTCAAATGAAATAATTATAAAGGTTGAAGGTTGAAGGTTCAATAGTATGTGAGACTAGTTTTATATTTTATTGGTTTAAATTAAAAGTAAACTTTTCAAGAACATTTTTATTTTTTGTTAAATTAAAGAGACTTAATATCAATAATAAGTTTTGATCTCATTTTGAAGGTCTAATTATTTTCTATTCTATTATATATTATCAATAAATTAAGTTAATGATTTAAAAAAATCATAGATATAAAATAAAATGCACAATTTGTAAGGGAATGGTAACATTTTTTTGGGGGGTGTTTGTGAAAATGCAGAGAAGATGAGCTCCAAGAATTACTTTTGTGGAGAAGATGAGGCGTTAATGATGGAAAATTTGGTAATTGACATGATGGGTATTTCATTTTGAGTATGAGAATTTTGTACGCTTTGATCTCTTTCTTTCAATAATAGAGCAATTTTGTCGTTATTGAAATTTAGTAACAAAACTTGTGGTCTTATGATTTACGTATGTGTTTCATAGTAAATAAATAAAAAATTGTGTATTTAATTAGAAAACTATTGATTTTGAGAATCAAACTAAAGCAACGGATTATAAGAGGGTCTATTTGCAATATAAGAAAAATGATCAAGGTTTGTTTCCAAAGTAAATACGTATTTAATTATTTATGAAATCTGTGGTTGTTCAAGTTAGAAATAATTGTATGTGGTTAAGATTTATGGATGCCCATGCTAAACGTGTTATGCACCATTTTATATTTTATACATGATCGAGATGATAACATTATCATATGAACACTGGTGAATCTAGACCAAAAAATTATATGGTTTCTAATGTAATTGAATTTGAAAAAATATGAAAGAGTAAAAGGTTATGGTGGTGGTGGTGATGGCAATGGCGGGTCGGATAAGGGGTATGTTGTATGCCTTAAAATATTTAAAATTCATTATAATAGTTCTAATAAAATTTTTACAAATGAATTATATGAGGTCTTGTATCTTAAAATATATTCATAATTTTCTTGTCATCAATATTTTTTAAACATTTTTTTTAAATATACATAACTAAATTATCATTAAAAAATTGGTCACTTATTTTTTTACGTATACAAGAAATCTAAGATTTTAAACCTGTGGATTGATTATGGTCGATGGAGAGGATGAACGGCAAAAAAGGGCGACCGACAATGGCCAAGTCAGACGGTGATTGGATAATTGAAGTCGGCAGGTGTAACAGTTTAAGGCTTGAGGCTGTAGGGAACGGGAGTCATTGAATTGTTGAATGACTTTTCCAATTCTTTTTGTGTTTAATTTTAGATGGATTGGACTATATTTACACATTGGGCTTCTTCTAAATGGTCATTATGTATTTGTGTTCATTGATATTCCTTTCTTAAAAAAAATATATTAGTTAGTTTATTTAAAAATAATAACATAGTTCCATTTTTTTATATACATTTACCTCTATTAAAAATTTAAATAAAGGTAGGTCTTAGGACCTACCTTCCCTTAACTTAGATACGCCTATGAATCATATGATAAAGAGAAATTACAAAGGTTTTCAATGAAAATCATAAAGACTACAAAGAGTAAGATGGATATAAATACTAGCTAGACAAAACAAGTTTGTCACATAAGAATAAAGACTACCTTCCCTTAACTTAGACAAAACAAGGGCTAAAGGCTAAAGGATCCATAAACAAGTGGGCTAATAATATATTCGCTAACCCCCCCCCCCCCCCCTTAAACTTACAATGCCACAACAATAAGCATTGAAAGTTTGTCACATAAGAATCGAAACCGAGAAGCCGATAGAGCCTGCGTAAAAATACCCGCAAGCTGCAAGGTCGATGAAACAAACATAAGCGATATGGTCCCAGACTGTAGGCCGGTAAAATGACAATCAATCTCAATGTGTTTCGTCCGCTCATGAAAAACAGAATTCCTTGCAATTTGTATAGCACTTTTGTTATCATAATGCAAGGGAGTAGATGAAGAAATGTGAACTCCCATATCCGCAAGTTGCCACCATAACCAGATAATCTCACATGTAGTTACAGCCACAACACAATATTCAGCCTCCATGGAATATCTAGAAACAACGTCCTTATCTTGTTCTTCCATGAAATGAGAGACTCTCCAATAAATATGCAAAATCCGGTGGTGGATTTATGATCACGATAATCACCATCCCAATCAGTATCACTATAGGTACGTAACTCAAAAAAAGACGTCGAGGGAAACAAGAGGGTCTGAAAATGAGTGCCACAAAGGTATCTTAGAATACAGAGAACAACTGCCACAAAGGTATCTTAGAATACAGAGAACAACTGCCCAATGAACATATGTAGGAGTAGTAACAAACTAACTGACAACATGAACAACATGAGCAATATCTGGACGAGTAACTGTGAGATAGACCAAAATTCCCATAACAGTGCGATAAAGATTAGGATCAGACAAAGGAACACCATTAGTAGGAGAGTACCGTGTAGTGGTTTCAAGAGGAGTATCAATAGTCCGATTGTCAGAGAGGCCTACCAATGTAAACAAGTTATATATATATATATATATATATATATATATATATATATATATATATATATATATATATAGTCTGAGAAAGAAGATACCATTTCTTAGACTAAGCTACCTCAATACCCAAGAAATAACGCAACAAGTCCAAATCCTTCATAGCAAATCGATGAGCTGAATTTTTCTATCTTTTTCATTTGCAAATGTTACTACATTATGATTCTTAAAGAACAATTCACTATGGCTGGATCACGTCCTAAACTCGTCTTCAACATAAATACCATAAAATGTAAATTATAAACATACAAACAAATTTTGACGAACCATTAAAAAAACTTAGCAAATAAGAAGCAACCTTCAAATAAGAGGCGGATCCAGCGTTATGGGTAGGTTGTGTTATTCCATCAGCCACACCATTATGCCTATTGATCTTTTTCTACTCAGATTTCTTCTTGAATTCTTTTAAATTCCATTTGCTAGCCAGGAGTTCGACACTTCTAGTGAAATATGAGTAGGTTTCTTGCCAGATGGTTTTTTTTCGTTATGCATATTAATAAGATATTGACCATAACTTTGTGATGCTTTACTTTCCCAAGCACCCTCACTTTTGAGGTTTTTGTATCATCACAACAATAATTTTTCTACATAACAACATACACATAAGTTTAAATGTAAATGTTTACCAAACAATAATATAAAACATATAATTAGTTACATTGAACTCGTCCCAATATAATTCACCAGTTTTGTTTCTTATAGTTCCCCAAGTGTACCCTTCTACATATACTCTTTCAATAAATGATGAAGTAATATAGGTAGCACAAGGGTCTGGTGGCACAAACCTGCAAAGAATATGATTGTTTCATATTTGAATTCATATGTAGGTGTAGAGCAAATGGTTATATGTAGAATAAATTTTACGATTGGTAACTCACACTCTTTTCTAAATATCAATAGTTAAACGTCAATTTGGTCCATAAACAAAGGAATATTTTTGACCGCCTACAGTTGCACAATATATCTAGTAGCATTAGTTGTGGATTTTGTTACGATTGTTGGTGGTGGTGATAAGGTAGATTATACGTTAGATGTTGGGATAGTTGATGTATTTGTTTAGGATGTGGTAGTTGGTGTAGGTAAGGAGGATGTGGTAGTTAATGTAGCTATTAAGGATGTGGTAATTGATGTAGCTACTAGGGATGTCATATCTAATGTCACTAATAGGGATGTGGTAGTTCGTGTTGGTGTTGAGGATGTGGTAGTTAATGTAGGTGTTGAGGATGTGGTAGATGATGTAGGTGATGTGGTTTTGGTAGTTAAAGTGGGCTACTTGAAGAGTCAAATAAATTACGAGGTAATAAGCTTGATGATGACAATGGTGTAGTAGATAGCTTAGATATGGAGGTAGATGGTTAAGTTTTCATTTTGAGATGTTGGTTTCTTGATCACCTATAGGTTTTTTTTTAAAACACATCGAAGTGTATTCCGTTTGCGGTTTAATACTTGAGGTGGAATATAGGTTTTGTTTTGCTTACCATCTAATACTCCTTTTGGTTTCAACTGGGACATCTTTCTTGATCACCTATTGGTCTTATGACTTATGTAGGTGTTCCATAGTAAATAAATAAAAAAGTTGTGTATTTAATTAGAAAACTATTGATTTTGAGGATCAAACAAAAACAACGGATTAAAAGAGGGTCTATTTTCAATATAAGAAAAAGATGATCAAGGGTTTGTTTCCAAAGTAAATATGCATTTAATTATTTATGTAATATATGGTTTCTCAAGTTATATAGAAATAATTGTATGTACTTAAGATTTACGGATGCCCACGCCAAGCGTTCTATGCACAACTTTATATTGTTTTACATGATCGACACGATCACCATTTTATGCACCACAAAATGGTATAAAAGCAATGGACACAAATATTTACATATGACAATACCTTAATCCTAAAATCATAGTCCAAAAATCATTTTCAACAATCCTTTTTAGGCCAGTGTCATTCTATAGTACAAGAGAGTTCTTTTTATAGTGTAGTTAAACAAATTCATCAAGTGTTCATTTATAATATCTTTGAATGAGTAAAATGATCTAAAAGCTTAAAATCCTAATTTTTAATTGAATATTTCATCATTGAAATCCTCTTTGAATGGAACTCCGTCGTCAATGAAGTCTTAATAGGGTGAACATGGTTCGGTTTTTTATTAAAGTTGAAACTGAATCGAAAATTTTAGATTTTGACTTTGAAAAAACCAAACCCTTGTTGGGTTTTTATTAAAAAATCCAGTTTCACAACCGGTAAAAATGACAACGGAAGCTTTAAAATTGTTGAATAAAACTAAAACTATTTTATCCACCAATGATCATTTTGCAAGAGTTAGAAAGATTAAAACAACCATAGAAAGGAAAGCATAACAACCTTTGAAAACTTTGATCCTCATGGGAGGTTGGAATTTGATGAAGTGTGGCATGAAACCCTAAAGATAGATTTCTCTACAGGTATCTACCAATCAAGAGTAGAACTATCAAAACATGCTAGTATTCACTTGTAATTTGTTATTCATAAGCCTTTGAAATATATACCAAATATATGTTCAAAGGTGAAGCAACAAATGGGCTTTGTCTAGCATCAAAATGCAAGAGAATGGAGAAGAAGAAGAGCCTTCGAATTCCAAAATTTGGCAATCCTCGAAAGAGCATGGAGCTTTTGGATTTGGTTATAAGAAGAGAAGGAAGAAGAATTGCAAGAAGTGTGTTCACAACCCTTCCATGCCCTCCCTTATATAATCACCAAAAAGCAAAGGGAGACCATAAAGCAAAAGGAGAGAAAACTTTCTCCCAAGCATGGAAAAAGAATAGAGAAGGCATGCATGCCTTGTCTCCTCCCATTTTTCAAAAAAAGGCATATCCAAAAGAAGACAAGAGTTGTCTCATGGCTAGTTTTTATACACATACTTGTTATCTTTATAAAAATCAATCATTTTTATAAAGACTTCCCAACACACATGCACGCACACACACACACACACACACACACACACACACACACATATATATATATATATATATATATATATAGTCATATATAAATATCTTATTTTATGTAAAACTATCTTTTATATAAATTGTAACTAACTTATTAAGATATAAATATGAATATATAAATATCTTATTTTATATAAAACTACCTTTTATATAAATTGACCTAGTATATTAAGTTTTATATATATATATATATATATATATATATATATATATATATATATATATATATATATATATAAAACTTATGAATAATCACACTTTATGATATATTTTATAAGTTGTTATTTCTCCAATAAATATTATTTCCACAAATAATAAATTCCCATTTAGTAAAATATTATTTCCATGAAATAATAATTTTCCAATTAAATACAAGTGTTGATATATTTGTTAATAATCAAATTATACTAATAAATAATTAATTTAAGGTAACTTGCTATATGGTGTGACCCAATAGGATCATATATTATTAGCAATATCATTCTATAATGACTCCTGGGCATATTAGATCTTTCAATCTCCCACTTGCATAAGACTCATCATAGATTGATATAGATAGTGGTGAACGTCTAGTAACATTTCACTGCCCCCAATAACATATGACGAAGAATGTCATTCATCAACATCCAATTCCCAAAAGCTCTAAGCTTCAATGGATGTATTAAGGTAAGTTTATTAATTATCCCTT